CGCCGCCCGAGCCCCCCCGCGCCGGAGCCATGGCGGGCGCCTCTTCCCCCTGCGCTAACGGCTGCGGGCCCGCCGCGCCCTCCGACGCCGAGGTGCTGCACCTCTGCCGCAGCCTCGAGGTGGGCACCGTCATGACTTTGTTCTACTCCAAGAAGTCTCAGCGGCCGGAGCGGAAGACCTTTCAGGTCAAGCTGGAGACACGCCAGATCACGTGGAGCCGCGGCGCCGACAAGATCGAGGGTGCCAGTAAGTGCGCCCCCTCCCCGCCCGGGCCCGTGTGCGCGCGCGCCCCGGGCTGCAGGGTCCCCGGCCGCAGCCCCAGATACTCGGGCAAACTTTCGGGCCCTGCCCTCCGGGACCCGGACTCCGCCCCCGCCTCGTCTGGGGTGGCCACCGGGGGTCGGGGGCTGTCCGGCTCCTCGGCTCACCTTACAGGAGCCCCCCGACAGCAGAGGTAGTGTTGCTGAGGCCTAAAACTCCTGGCTGGCTGGAGACCAGAGGGGCAGACATCGGACCCCTCGGCCCCAGGGAGCAGCCTCGAGGGGAGCCGAGGCAGTGGCCCCTACCCAGCCCGAGAACCTGGGGCCAGAATGCTCTGGAAATCGAAGTCTGTGAAACAGTCTGGACGCCCAAGGATTAGCTCTCATTTGCAAAGGAACTTCTGGGTTTTCTGACTAGAACTTGGGCAGATGTGGTATAGGGCTGGTTTGGAAGCACAGCTGGGCCTACTCATGTCTCTCTTCGGAAGAGAGAGGAGGGTAGTCTTGTTCGGGTTGGAAAAACCTGGGAGACATTGCTTGCTCCCCCACACCCCCTTCTCAATCCTGCTTTTGTCCTGCAGTTGAGTTTTGGATGGCTATGTGGTGGGCAGACACCCAGCCAGAACTGGGGCTTGCCATGCTCCCCTTGCCCCTGCAAGCATTATTGTAAGCAGGATCTTGGCCACAGAAAGGCCACCCCCAGTGCCCTGGAGACAGGTACTCTTCGGAAGAATGTGCAGCCAGTTTGGGGTCTAGTCCTTTGTGTCCTATGTCCGGTGACTGCAGGGAGCCAGGAGCCGCTCCTCTTGGTTTCCTGCCTTTTTGCCTTCCCAGGCCTGAGGTTGGCTGCCTCTGCGAAGGTCTCTCGTGGGAGGAGGGAGTTGGGGGACTCTGAGAAACCCCAGATCTTTCCGAGTGTATAATGAGTGCCTGTGTGGACACTCGCCCCCGCCGTCCAGTCCAGTGCCTCTTATCAAGAGATGATGTGTTTTCAACCCCTGGCTGTGAGGTGCTTCCTGCAAGGACCCCCAGAGACAGGTGTTGGAGAGACCCACCTCAGAAGGAGGGGAAAGAGGGGGTAGTCAGGAAGTGACAGCCCAAAAGAGGATCCCACAGACCTTCTGGGTATGGTGTGCATGCATGTAGATGAGTGAGGAGATGGAGAGGAAGGTCTTGTGGTAAAGCAGCTACGCTCAACTATAAACTTCAGATCTGACAGAGATCTGGCACAGCTGCCTGAAGTTGAGATGGCAGCCAGCTTCCTCAGTGCCTCCATTGGCCCTGTCAATCTCTGGGAGATCATTTTAGCGATTTGAGAAAGGATTCCAATGTGGAAGAAGGACAGACACTCTGAAATGCTGAGATAGCCTTGGGAACATCACTTAGGTATCAGACTCCAGCCCCAGCCCCATTGCTTGTGTGGTACTCCTTATGCTGAAGCAGCGTCATTGGCTGGAGGTTCCAAGGCAAGGTTGCCTGGATAACAGCTGCATTTTAAACCATACGGGTAACTGGCAGGAAGTAAGTCTAGTACAGTGGTAGAAGGCAAGTGTCCATGAAGGCCATATAGCAAGAAGTTGTGCATCCAGCCAGTTACTTACCTTCTCTTAAGTTTCCTCCTCTGTAAAAAGAGTGAGTATAGCCACCGTACATAGTTGCTCAGGAGATTAAGTAAATCAATTGATGTAAAGCATCAGTGTCTGACACTAAACATTTAATAAATGTGACCTGATACATTGTAGCACTTTTAATAAACAGCTTTTAGTAATAACAGTAAAAGGCTATGCTTGCCCTCCTAGAGGTTGGACTGGAATATGTGAGGGATGTTGACTATTAAGAGAAGGTTAAGGTGCAGGACAGCAGACGGAGTGTTTCACTTAGCTTGTTACTCAGAAAGAAGGAGGAAACGGTTTTGTTTTGTCCTAACTCATCTAGCCACCCACCCATCAAGTAGAACCGTGTTTCCTGTAGAGAAAGTATTTGGAGTTTTGTTCAGTAGACTCCTAGGTGAGGCTTTCTCCTTTTCAAGTTAGGACCTGAACAGAAGGAAAGATTGTGGCAAGGGAACCAGGCAGTCCATTGTTTCTCACAAAAGTCTTTGTGAGGATGCAGGCAGGAATGCGGAGGACCTGATTTCCCCAGCCCCTAAGGGTGGGTCAGCCAAACATGTGCAGATTCAATGCTGAAATTTGAGAGGCATGGAGGGTAGACAGCGTAAAGGGGCCCTGGCTCTTTGATTTGGGGAACCAGATCAAAGAAGCCTGAGAAAAAGGGTAATAGATGCATGTATAGAATTCAGACCATACAGGTGGAGCCTCCTGCTCAATCTTGCCCCACTTCTGCCCCCTGATGGGTTCTGATCCTTGCAACCTCTTGTAGACTTTGAGGAAGGTTGTCCCCTGCCACTTAGCATCTTGCTCAGGTGCCTCAGGTGTCTCTGACCTTCTCATGCTGACCTTGCCAGCATACCATGCAGTACCTGAAGCCTAGACAAAGAGCGAGACACTGCGCTACCCTCAGGGTGATCATGGACCCGAAGGAGAGGCACAGTGATTAAGGGAAAGGGCACCGCACTCATGTGAGGTCTTGTTCTGTCCTAACTCTACTCTCTCACTTGACCACTTGTGAAATGGTACCTGCTGAATTCTAGGGCAGGAGTTTGGTTCAAAAGAGTAGTGGGAAAGTGCTTTGGTGCCTTTGGTTGTGAAGTTGTGTGACAGGAATGAGGTTGGCTCTGGCTTTTTATGTTGCAGACTTTAAGTACATAAAAAACAATTACAGACTTTCTGCTGAGTGCTAGAGGGGCTTCTCATGTTTTTTTCTGGGCTAATCATACAAGGAACCCTGCAGGATGTCCAGGAATACCACTCTATTTTATAGACAAGCAAATGAAAACACAGGGAGTGATTAGTGCCAGTGTGTGCCAGAACCTCAGCTAGGTCCAGTGGCCAGTCTAGACCAGCTGCACTCCAAGGTGACTGCTCTCTCAGGTTACTCTGATTTGGGCCTCCCGGACCCTAGAGTCTGCCTTGCCTTTGTGAGGAAAAACCTTTGTACTTAGACCCTATTTTATGGGTAAAGCCTGCTTCAGCCTGTGTATCCCAAGATAACCTCAGCCTCTCTAGACTCTGGTTCCATACTTTTTTAATCTGTGCCTTTTGTGGTGAGGTGGTTCAGGGTCATTATTAATACAATAGCCTCAGGTGGCGACTCCTGTGGAAGCACTCTAGGCAAGCACATCTGTGGGGAGTTGGAGAGCCCCAGGCTTCTGTCTTTGGCTGATTGGTAGATAGATATTCCTAAATACCAGGCTCTCTTAGTGAATAGAAATAGGTCCTTGCCTCTAGGGAAAGTTAAAACACAAAACAGTTCTGAGTGGTACCTTTGATGAAGGGGCAGTGGCAGAAGAAAATAACTGACCTCCTTGGGGCAAGTAGGCTCAAAGAGGGACGTGACCCTTGTAGCTGTGGGTATCCAACAATGAGAAGAGCTCACCAAGAGGCTAGTGTGAGGGCTAGGCCCACCATACTGGAGGATGCCAAGTGGGTGTCACGAAGGGTTCCTTTGTGCTGGCTGGTTACTCCCCTTTGGCAGGAACACATACCCAGATCTTCAGAGCTCGCCATCCCTGCCTGTGTGTTTCCTGTCTGACTGTCATTTTTCCAAGGGAAGTCAGGCCTCTTAGTGTTTCCTCATCACCCCAGGCTTGCCCTGATGTGTGGGTTTCCAGCTGGGGTTCTGTTTCCTGTGAAGCTAAGAAAAAGGGCCAATTTCACACATGACCAGAGAAGCTGAGCAGGCTCAGTGCTGTGATTCCTATCTCCAGCTCATCCTAGGACTCTGTGTCTACACAGATGCACAGACTTGAGTTGGAGTTTAGAGATCTTGGCCACTAGATTTCCTTAGGTGGCCCCTTGGAATGAGAGGCATTTGCCCAATAAATATCATTATACATCTTTTAATCATCCAGTGCTAGGCATTGAGGGTTCACAGGATGACTAAGACCTTTGGGGGACTCTTGGATGAGATCGACATGGAAGCATGTGATTATGATTCTGTGTATTAGGTACCGTAAGGTGTGTACCAAGAGCTCTGAGTGCAACACAGGAGAGGTGACCTTTGAGTTGGCCCTTGAATGAATGAGGAGTTTGCCTGTGCCATGTTGGAAGGACGGGAAGTCACTCCTTGCAGGGGTAGGGAACACATTGGCATGGTAGAGACAAGATTGGGATGGTTAAGGGCACGCTGGGGGAGAATCCAACCCATCCCTAAGGAGTAAGTTAGGCCCCTCCCATCAGTTGCAAGAGTCTGCAGAGGCTGCAATGGGACTGACTTGGCTCTGTCTGCGACACTGCTATACTAGTAGTCTGTGAGGTTGATGGTGGGGAGAGAGGCCAGGATGTTCTTGTGCTTTGCAGAGGAGCACTGACAAGACCTCCCTGAGGTGGCACATAGATGCACTAACAGAAGGAAGAGGGGCCAGGGCTGGAGACTGTAGTGTTCAGTAGTTAAGTATTTGGGCTGTGAGCTCAGGTTGCCAGGTTGTAATCTAACTGTTGTGCAGTTTAATGCTCTGTGATCCTGAGCATGTACTTTATTTCTCTGATCTCCTCATCTGTAAAGGGGGATAGTAAAAAATGATGTTTATTTCAAAGATTTTTTTTTTTTAATGAGAATCTGGATTAAGTCCTTGGCAATGAGTATGAGGTAGTATACTTGCCTAATGTGTGGATCTCTGACAGGAAGGAGATAGGATTAAGTCTTCAGGAGGGCTTAGTGGGAAGGAGATTGGGCATACCTGCTGTGCCAAGGAGCTGGTACCTGTCCACCCAACCCTCTGATTCAGGGTGAGGAGGATGCCCACTACAGGCATTTGCAGGGAGATGGGACAGTGGGTAGAAGTAGCTTCTTGGATGGTAACCCTTTCTGTGGTGTGAAGATGTCACGTTGACCTATTTCTTTTTTTTTTTTTTTTTTTTGGTTTTT